TTAAATCATTAACCGCGGTACGCATGGCTAGGGGGTAATGAAATAAAATAGAGGAACGACGGGTTTGCCTTTCATTGATCTTTCTTAATCAGAGTAAGATTCGAACTTACAATATCGTTGATTCCAAATAAATCAATCAATAATTTACCTAAAAATCTGACTTTATTTATATTTATATCTTTATAGTATATGAAAAGGGAAAGTCGAACTACTATCCGTGATGAGCAGACTACCTTAGGCTATTGTCTTATTATTATTATATATTTTTGCTCCCGGAACATCTAAAAAAGTTATTTACTATGTTTATAGTAGGGTTTCAATAACTATAAGTGCATGGGCAATTTTTCATAAATAGATCTAATTATATAATAAAAATATAATTTTTTATCCCAAACCCTGAAGAGGTTCCAAAATTAGTAGTTATGTAGGGGTGTTTCCATAATGGTATGGGACAATAATCAAGCTAATATATCTCCCGAGAATGCAAGGAAGTACTTAAATTAAAAATTTTTAATAAAACATAATATATTTGTTCCTCCAAAAGTATTAAGATGAAAACCTGAACGATATTTACTGTGGTCACTTTATTTATAATTGTGATTGGTCCTCTTCCCCTCCCTCAGTAAAATAACTAAAAACCTGCTCTACAAGACCGTGGTTTAAATTATATTTACTTACCCCCACACAATAATTATCGAAAATCCTAACTGTAAGATCCTACTCTTCTCCTTAATGGAGAATTTAATATTTAATCTAATTTATATCCCATAGTGTCATGAAAATATGGTAAAACAAGAGCTTTAAATTTATCCTTTGAACCCCTTTTAATATAAATAGTAAATTGTTCTTTCCCAAAATTATGAATAGAGCAATCAAGATCAAATTTATTTTTTAAAATATTAACTAGTAATTGTACGTCTTCTTTAGTATAAGAATTAGAACTAAATTTAAAATTATTGCCTTTTTTTATTGCCTTTTTTTTATTACCATCATCCATTGCCCAATATGCTAAACCTACAGGTGTTAATAACTCACCTGTACTCAAAGGGATTGTTTTAACTCTGTTTACATAGAATAAATCAAAATAATAGTTAAAGCACGGTAAAGAATAAGTAGAAAATTTAATACGATTATAAACTTTATCTGTTCTAAGATCAGGCTTAAGAGCACTATATTTAGGCTCAGTACCACAATAGTCTTTTAATAAATCATATAAATGTAAAATATATGCTTCATTTATTGAACCTTGTGTTAACATTAATCTAGCATAATTTCTATTACGTTGTTTACTTATATGAAGATCCCCTAACATACTACCAATTAGGATATCTTGTAGATTAGGGGAAACAGAAAAAGAGTCTCTTTGAGGATTAGTTAATCTACCAGTACTATAGAATCGATTAACAAAACCAACATCTTTAACAAAACCTGCACCTTTAACAAAACCTGCTCCAATGAAAACGTTAGACTTGAACATGTCTTATTCTGATTATTTCATGCCAATTAAGGTATGAATTATATTAAACTATCTTTCTATTAATTCTTGTTATACATATTTTCCCGGTCTTGGTTGGGTTAACAAGCCTCACAATATTCAAAAACAACAAAGATAAAATCTTGTAAATTGTATTTATTTATTGCATTTTGAAGTAAAATATTTGATCGAATACCATTTATATGTCTATTAAATCGCATATTTAAATTAATAGAAGAACCAATATACATTTTATTAGTAGTTTTAGAAAGAAATCCATAAATACTGGATTTACCTTTTAATTCTACTTTAATAATTTTTTGAATTTCTGCTAAATGTAAGTTACCCGTTGAAAGTTCAATGGTTGAAAAAAAAAGGTTGTAGTCGTATCATTGTTTTTTTTATAGTTTTTTAAAAATGTTAGCAAGCGCAATAATCTAAATTTTTTTAAGTAACTATTCCCACGTTGGTGCTCGCATGACACCCATGGTTTTCATCCATGTGTGGTAAACTATAATTTTATTTTAACCTTAAAGAAAATTTTCGAGATTACTAGGATAGAGTATAAAAGATAGCTGCAGTAACCTTCTATCGAAAAAAGAATAATACACCCCGGGGGTGTTCATAGATTTATAATGGTATATTATTCCCCTACCATTACCACTTAACTAATAATAGACCAGCAATCCAAATTATTCCTTAGCGGATGAAGTAAGTATCCACTTATTTTGAAATAATTTATTTTTATCTAAATATCTTGATATTGTAGAATTACTACAATTAAAGAATTTAGTAGCTTCTGTACAAGTCTCAAAACATTTATAGAAAATAGTCTCTTTCATCTCAGCATCAAATGAGTAAACAAATACTTTTTTACTAGCAGGATTATTCTTACCTTTCAGAGCTTCACTAATTAAAGCCTTAGTTTCAGCCGAAAGAGTTTTCCCAAACATTGGGTTATTTTCACCTGATTGAGCAAGACTCATTTTTGCTTTAGATTCTACAGAATGACCTATACCAAATAAAGGGTGATTTTCACCAGTTTTGGCTTTACTCATTAAAGCTCTAGTTTGCTCTGATTTAGGTATACCAAACATAGGATGATTCTCACCAGTTTTACCATACATTGGATGATTCTCACCAGTTTTGCCATAAAAAGGATTATTCTCACCTAATTTTGCAAGACACATTAAAACTTTAGTTTCAGAAGAATGAGTTCTATCACTCATTTTGGCAATAGTTTCTACAGTATGTTTATAACCTAGCGAGGAACCAGCTACCAGTAATAAATTATAAGTATTTGGTTCATCTACCCCGAAGACCAAATCAAGATAAGACTGTTCACGTTCTAAAATCAACTTTCGTGCTTCTTCTTTATCTAAATTAGCGATATCGACATATTCAAGTATTGCTAAAGAAAAAGCTGAATGAGTATGATAAAGAAGTGCTCTACAAATATAATTATCTGTTTTCTTTAACTGTGAAGGAGAAAAATATTTATTTAATCGTGTGAATAAATCAAATGCAGAACCGATATATAATTTCCCCGATTCGATATGAGTCCATATATATATACCAGCTTTGCCTTTATTATCTGACAAAATCCGTGGTTGATCTATCCCCGTATTAGGGTAAATCATAATAGGAACTAAGAATCTAATCAAAATACCTGAAAGGCTACTTTCCGGTGGAGCCACAAAAGAAGGGATAAATGAAAATAAAATAACATCAAAAAATAGCAAGAAAGTAAAAAATCCTACTAAAATTGAGAATAATACAAAATAAAGATATAGATTAGCTATATCTTTAGCATAAGTTGAAAAAAGCCGTCGAATCATAATTTTTTTTTGTTGATTAGAATCCTTTATTTATTAGATATTTGAATAAAATTTAAAGAGCATTTATTTTTTTTTTCAATGTAAGACTTAAACTCTTATAAGATAAGTTTTGAGCAATAAACGATCTTTATTAAAATAGAATATATAATTAATGGTAATTATTGCATTTTTTAAGGGACACTGGTTTCCATTAACCTATTACTGACTATTATATACTATTATTAGAAAACAAACCACCAAAGGCTAGTAAATTACACTGTTTAATATTTTCAAATTTTGGTTTTTAGAGAGAAAGAGAGGATTAAAATATTTAGAAAAAGGAATCAAACCTTTCACTTTTAAAAATTATTATAAAGCAATAAATGTTTATATCTATACTGTAATTATGATTTATTATTACCGTCATTATTATTTATTATTATAGATAGTTCACTCAGAGTATAAAAGGGCCGAGGGGTGTGTTTGTTTTAGTTCTTAGAATAACAATAAGAAATTAAGAATAAAGTAGAAACAAACACCAATTATAATCTTGTATCTAAGTATAATACTGAGGCAGTTAATGTAATTGTATTCTTGTATCTAGGTATAATACTGAGGTAGTTAATGTAATTACGGTCAAAATAATATAAAGAGCGTAGTTAAGAATCCATTATCCAGGCTGGCTAGGTTTCGACTAGTACTAGAGAATAAATTAGTTAAACCCACCTACTAGTTCTAATACACCTCTGTCCATGATTTTATGAATGAAAATACCCTAAATTTAAAATTAAAACAACTATACGATAATAAACTAAATCAAAGAAATATCTTTGATTTAAGAAAGTATATAAAGTTCTACCTAATTTAGGTAATTTAATTTCAACAAGAATATTTGGAACAAATTCATAAAGTAATAATGTACCAACAAACCCTCAAATAGTAAATATGGATGGTAATACTTTAACATGAGGGAAAGCGAGTTTTAATTTATCTGATAATCCTAAATTCATAGCCCCTCTTATTGCTATTATTTGCTTTAAGCTGGGGAGTGATAATTGTTTATCAGTTTTTATCTTTATACTCTGTTTCCATAATAAGTAATCTATTTTTTTAGCACTTTCTAAAGGGTATTTATCAAAATGAGGGATTAAAACAGATGTTATAGATTTCATATCTTGCACTGTATATAATACAATATCTTTATTAAATGTAATATTACCAATCTCTCCGAAAAAAACTTGAATTCCCTTTAATAAAGGTAAATCTTTTAAATGTGTACCAATCTGAAATTTAGTTTCGATGCCCAACCAAATTACATATCTTTTCTTTTAATTTTGTGAACGGGAAAACAAGACTCACCATCGGCAAATCCTGTTACAAAGAAAGGGTTCAGTTGTTTAGATAAATTTACTTATAATTACTGTAATCCCAGATAAATTAGTAGAATAATTCCCAACACTATAGGTATTGGATAATTGTGAATTATGTTGTTCATTTTTTTTTAGAGTAATAGTAAAATGTGCTACTCCAATTTATTTTTGTTTTTACTCTCAAGCTAATAGAATGTTTATTTCCTATTTGTATATAAATATATATCCCTCTTTAATCCTAATTATGACCATATAAAATATCTTTGTGTCTGCCTCATTTATATAAAAAATATTAAACGAAGCTAGACGAACGACGGTTTGCCTTTCATAGGTATTTATTGCCAGATGTCTGATTCGAACAAACATCTCGATGATTACAAATCATGGGTTTTACCAAGTTAAACTAATCTGACCTTTCTTATATATTTATAACTTATAAAAATGGGGGGGGGGTTGGTCGCAACCGGGGGGGGGGGGTGTTAATCATAGGATAACGGTATATTTTCCCCTACCATAAATAAAAATTTTACTTTTTCGTTATGAATAAGATCCATTTGTCTTTGAATATTAAACCATTTCTTGCATGATTTAAGATTATAGAATGGTCTGTTTTAAAAAATTCACGAGCTTTTCTAGCAGAAACTAAAAACATTAATTAGAGAGTAATTTAAATCATATATAAAAATAGTGGTTCCTTGAGCAGAACTCATTTTCGCTCTAGTGATAGCAGAATGGGATTTTTCTTTATGGACAGCACTAGTTAAAGCTTTAGTCCCAGCTGAAAGGGTTTTACCAAACATTGGATGATTTTTACCTGATTTAACAACACTCAATTTTGCCTTAATTTCAGTTGAAAGACTTTTTATTGATTTCACTAAGTTTTGCTTTATGCTCCTCTGTTTTTGAGGTACCCTATAATTTACCTTTGTTGGTTTTACTTATTTTAGTTTTGGTTTCTTTTGATCGTATTCGACCTAAAGAACTACCTACAATTTTTTGAATATTTTACTTAGGATCCAAAGAATCTAAAAAGTATTGTTCTCGTTCAAGAATCGCTTTTTTTAGCTTCACCCTTCGATAAATTTGCTATATCTATGTACCCTGTAATAGATAAAGAAAATGCTGTATAACCATGCATTTGAAGAGCATTATATATATACATTGGTTTATTACGGTCTAAAAAGTTTATATTATAATACTGCGACAAACGAATTTTTAAGTCGACTGCTGAACCTATGTGTGTATTTTCTGATTATATGTGTTACCACATATATATACCAGTTTTTCCTGCGTTATCTTCTAAAATTTGTAATTTATTAGTGCCCGCATAATTATAAATAATTACCGATGCAAAAGACTCATTGTTATTAGTTTTCATTTTTAAAAAATTTTTTTTTATTCCTCTTTAATCCTAATTATGACCATATAAAATATCTTTGTGTCTGCCTCATTTATATAAAAAATATTAAACGAAGCTAGACGAACGACGGTTTGCCTTTCATAAATATTTATTGACAGATGTTATATTCGTACTAATAAAATAAATGATTATAAAAATCAATTATATTTTACCATTAAATTAATCTGACTTATTATTAATAAATTTTTGGGGACCGACGGCGTCTGAAAAGGGGGTAGGGTCTTCCAAAATCCCATTAGGACCACGAGTAATATATACCCCGAGTTGGGTGTAAATTTATAAGATAATGGTGTATTAGACCCCTACCAAAAATTATTTATACTTAAGGGATGTGGATAAGAACCATTTATTTTTAAACAACTCACCACTTCTTGCATAAGTTAAATTGTAAGGCGAGAACAGTCCATTTTCACGAAATAAAAAGGGAGCAATAAGCCCTTTTTTTTTTTAAAGCCTACATAACGGGGCCTCCGGGGGGGGTGTTTATCTCTTTTGAGTACTCTATATTTACTAAACCCCTCGAATTTAAAACTCGATGTAAATAATAGTTATAGAATTCTTTATTGTACTGTTATAAATAAACTCGAATAAGAAGAAAGGCTAATAAAAGTTAAATCCTTATTTATTTAAGGATACGGATAAAATCCACACTTTTTTAAATATTTCACCGTTTCTTGCGTATTTTAAAATAGTATCCTTAGAAACACCAAAATGTAATGCAGCTTTATTAGCAGAAGAAAAACTTTTTTCTAGTAAACCATTGAGATCAAACACATAAATAGCAGTTCCCATTGTAGCACTAATTTTAGCTTTAGTCTCAACCGAAACAGTTTTTCCAAACATATGATTTTTATCACCGATCTTAGAATCACTCATTAAAGCTTTAGTTTCAATAGAAAAAGTTTTACCTTTATGAGCAAGACTCATTTTCACACGAGTCCCCTCTGAATGAATTTTACCATGCATTGGGTTATTCTCACCTCTTAAGGCTTCACTAATTTTTGCTAGTGCCTCAGGAGTATGAGTTTTACCTAAAAACCCCCGTGGGTTATTCTCACCACTAAATTTAGTGAGGGATACTGAAGTATGTTTATAACCTAATGAGGAACCAGCTACCTCTAGTATATTATACTCCGGTTCTAGAGTATCCAAATAAAACTGTTCTCGAGACAGCAGATCCTTGGGCTCACAATATTCAAAAACAATAAAAATAAAATCCCGTATAGCATATTTATTTATAGCATTTTGTAGTAAAATATTTGATCGAACCCCCTTTAAATGTTCTTTAAATCGAGAAGATAAATTTATAGAAGAACCAATATATAATTTACCGGTTGTTTTGCAAAGAAATCCGTAAATCCCGGATTTACCTTTTAATTCCAATTTAGTAATTAAAAATATTTCCGTTATATGTAAAAAACCAATAAAGAGTTCAACAGTTGAAAAAGGTTGAAGTCGTTTAATGGCTGAATAAAATGGTTGTAATTGTATCATTGTTGTCATTTTGTATTTTTATAAAAGACTCGTAGAAAGCCTGTCTTCAGTTCTCGTGAGTTTAGAACATAATTCAACCTTAGGAGATGTTACCTATAACTTTAGGAGCACCCTCTGGCTTTACAGTTCGATACAGCTAAAGTGTCCAGTTATATCTGATTTCCTTATATATCAAATCCCTCTCAATAAGCTGGCCATGCCGGGCTTGCCGTCTACTTGTTAGACGGTACTCCGGTTTAGCGACAGTCGAGAGATCTGAAGAAACACTTCAGTTTCTTGAGTGAGTATTATAGAAGCGAACGCTATACGTGCCACAGTCGTACATGGGTGGTAAACCCCCATACCGGGTCTCTTCCGGATACATTTAGAGTGTTTAAAACTCATGGCGTATCAAACCAGTGTCTTATATTTATATTAAGGATTAGAGGGAGACACCCTCTAGAACGGGTACAAAGTAGACAACGTTATGATCCAAACTCTTACTATATTTACCATTTAATGGTGACAAAATTTATTATTATTAATTAATTTTTATATTAATCGGTCATAGCCACATTAATTAAATTACATTCATGGGAAAGAAAGCCATATTCAGGGGGGCAAATATTTATTTTGAACAATATTATTAGTTTATTGGGGGAGCCCCACTCAGGATATTAGAGCCTGAGAACAGAATTTTTTGGGCCTAGCTAAAGTAAAGATATTCTTAAAAGTAGTACCGTCACTACTATATACATAAATAGTGTTTCCTAGCACTTCACTTTTTCTTGCTTTATGCCCCTCTGTTTTTGCTACTTCTTTTTTTTGCTTCACTCATAGAACCTCGTGTTTCTAATGAGCGTTTAACCCATTTTCACCTTTTTTTTTTTTAGTGATATTCCCGTGTGGACTTTATCAAAAAAATGGTGAACCTCTCTTAAGATTTTAGCTAAACCCTCCCCCTCTGGATGTCATAAGAAACTACCTGCAATTTTAAGAATATTATATTCAGACACAAGAGTATCTAAATAATATTGCTCTCTTGAAAGAATCAAAATTTTAGATAGACCCTTTGAAAAATTTTTAATAACTATATACTTTAATAAGAGAGAATGTTGGGTATCTGTGTTCTAATAAAGCTCTACAGATATACATAGATTTATTAGGATCTAACCAATTTATAGAATAATACTTTTTAAAACGATTAGATAAATCAACTGCAGAACCAATATATTAACCCAAATTCTAAATGTCCCCTCCGTTTCAGACATGGTTATCATTAATTATGTATTCTATTTTATAGAGGTCTTTTGTATTTGAACTTAGATTGTTCAAGTCTACCTTTGTAAATTTGCACTCGACCGGTATACAAATGTTCTCTTTAAATGACCCTTTAAATTTTAATTTAAATATTTAACAAATAAAGGATTCTAAACTACAAAAAAACCATGTCGCTTTTTTCAATAAATACTTATAATATATGCACACTATATCTAAATCTTGCGTCATTTTCAACTATAGCCCAGGGGGGGGGGGCGAACAGTAGGATTATTTCTTACTTTTTCGCTATTTCTTCCCCCCGATGTTTCTTTATTCACGGATTTATTCTTTTTATCCAGAGAGTTGTCTATCTGTTTGTATGAGAATTCTTTAATTATGTCTTATTTTGTACCTGTAATGGTATATCATAATGCTGGGACTGTTAGGTCTAAGATCCTGGCGGAGAATAAAGGAAAAACAGGGATTTACCTGTGGACTCTTATAGAATCAGGTAGAATTTATATTGGTTCTGCGTTTGATCTCTCTAAACGATTATCCCTACATTTTTCTTCTTTTGATTTAAAACAAACAAATAGCTATACCTCTAGGGCACTTCTTCATCATACTCATTCAGCTTTTTCTTTGTCTATACTTGATTATATTGATATTCCGAATTTATCAAAGAAAGAAACTCGTTAAATAATACTAGAATGTGAACAGTTTTATCTCGATATAATCTTTTCCCCTAGATAAACCAAATACATATAATATATTAAGAACAGCCGGATCTTTGTTAGGTTATACACATACAGAAGAATCCTTTGCTAAATTGAGTGAAGCGAATAAAGGTAAAAATAATCCTTTCTTTGGGAAATTTCATTCAATTGAAACAATAGCTAAATTAAGTGAAGCTCTTAAAAGAATAGCTAAATCTGAAGGGCACAAAGCAAAAATGAGTATTCCTAAAACTGGTGAAAATAATCCAATGTTTGGTAAAACTTTTACCCATTCAGCTGTCACTAAAACTTTTACCCATTCAGCTGTCACTAAAGCAAAAATGAGTATAGCTAAAGGAACTGCTATATATGTATATGATCTCTATGGTTTACTAAAAAAAAAATTTTTTTTCTTCCGCTAATAAAGCTGCATTACATTTTGATGTTTCTAAGGATACTATTTTAAAATATGCAAGAAACGGCAGAATATTTAAAAAAGAATGGATTTTATCTGTATTCTTAAATAAATAAGGATTTAACTTTT